AGCGCGCTCGGGCTGGTGTCCTTGGCGCGTCCCCTCGCCCTTCACCTCCAGGGCTGCACTGTGCACCCTGACGTCTCCCTCGGAGCCCTGCCGCAGGAGCCGAGGGAGGAATCCGCAGCGCCCTTCCCACGCGGCCCAAACCTCATCTGTCGCCTCGGGAACCCCGCATCCCAGGTCCCCAGCCGGGGGCTCCACCGCCCGCGGAGCCCTTCCCCAGCGGGTTCTGTCCCTAAGGGACTCCCACGGGGGAGAGGGGAGGTTTTACTTTATTTTTTAATAGCCCACATGGCCTTTGATGCACGTCTGCATAGAAGACACAGGTTATGCTACTGTTAGCTGCTAAATATCAGCGAGATTTGTGCTATAAGGTACTTCACTTGGGCATTTAAAACAAGGCAATTTTCTAGACTCCCACTTTCTCCAATAGGCGAAAAGGGGACTTGACTTCAAAGCCTATTCTTAAGCCCCTGAAATCTCTACAAAACCTAGGTAACAGCAAGATAAAGAGAATTTTGTAATATAAAGAAGTTAGACTACTTTACAGGGACCTTTGCAGTTGAATTCAGGAACAAAGGATGAACATGTTGGCATCACAAAGAGCAGCTTTCTTAAGGGAGTGTGTCGCAGAATGAAGCGTTTAGTCCACGTTTGTGTCTGGCAATCGTGTATCATCCACAGGAGCAAAAATCACCCCAGTTGTCCCAGATGGCTCAGCATCAGGGCTTAAGATAAATGCCTTCAACAGATGCAAATCATAGTGCATTACCCAGTGAAAAAATGAGGCACGTCATTGCATTTAATTATTTCCAAGGAGTGGAGGAGGCTGGCATGCAGTTTTGATTGATACTTGGACAAGGACCAACAGAACCCTACATGAAACAAACAAACGTCTAGCGCAGGGCAATGCGCTAAGAGAGGCAAGGTGGAAACTGGTTAGGTCACAGACGGTAGCCTCCCTCCAGGAGGGACAGCGGCTGCATGGTGGGGGTGTGGGAATGGAGGGCTGGTGCTTCTTTTCCCTCCAAGATCAGGTCTACCTACACCCTTTCTTTCCAATTCTCCTGCCTCATCTCATCCATTTCAGCATCAATGGAAGAACTGCAGGCAGGAAGGTTGTAAACCTTTCTCAGCCTGGAAATTGGGCCTTTGGCTGTGGGTCTCTATTCCAGGACTAAGCATCCCTGGTATGATTATGAGCTTCAGGGGGTTTCCGACCTCAGCTTTTTATGCTCTTCCCCAGATGTTCAAGTGCCTGGTCCCATCTCATTCAGATCTCAGCTTGCATGCCACCTCAGAGGTGTTTTGGCTGACGAAAGTGGCTACCCTCCCCAGTCACCCTCGCTATCACATTATTGTTTTATTTCTTCCCTTTTTATATATTTTTGTTTAGCTGCCTGTCTCCCCCTACAAGGATATGAGTTTTCTGAGAACAGGGGCTTGTCCATCTTGTCCAACCTCAGGATGCAGTACAGTCCCTGGTATATGCTGAGCATTTATTGAACACCTACTATTTGAGTGAAAGAGTCTCGCCATCCCTGAACTATCAGTGATCTGCAAAGGCCTTGCCTCCATTTGCTGAACTCAAGTTCATTGGTTTCCAATTTGTGAAATCAACAGGAGGGCCTCTGAACTACTTGTCTCCTGGGAATAAGTGAAGGTTAGTCAGACTTCGAACCAACAAAGACAGATCTAGGGAGCATTATAGGTTTCTCAGAAACAAGTAATGTGTATGTTCACATTGGTAACTGTTAGCACATCATCATCACCCTCCTATTCTTTGCAGTATCTATTTACTGGAGGTTGGAATACTCCCTTAAACTGAAAAGTGGGATTTTTAGCCTGAGGTTGCCCCTTTCTACATCACATACCAATTATATCACCCGTTGGTGTCTCTGAAACATGTTGCTTATAAGTTGCCAAAATTGAGCATAAACCCAGCCTCTGAAAGGCCGAAAGATGTAGTTACTCTTACATAGAAAGAAATAGATGCTCAATTTATGTTATGAATGACATGTTTCTTATTTACAAGGTTAACCAAAGTAAGAATGGGTTTTTAGAAATACTCCATTTTTCATCAAGGATTGCAATTACATTCTATTGAGGACAGGGAGAGGAAAAAGAAACTGATTCAGAAGCATGCATGACTTTATCAAAGAACCTCAAAGGAGTTGGTAAAGGAGGACATTCGTTGGCAAGAGGCAGGCTAGTTTAAAAAGCTAGGCACACAGGGGAAAAAAAAAAGGCCCAGTATGAAGAGTGACTTTGCGAAAGAGACCAGAGCCAGCTTCCCAACCCTTTATAGTCCTCCTGTAAAGCGATGGAGATTGCAAAAGGCAGTCTGTTCCATATTTGGACAGCTCTCATCATCAAAGCCAGCTCATTCTGGGCTGAATCCACCTCCCACTAGCTTCTCCTATACATTGGTTCCTATTTAGCACTGGAACAACTCTGAATAAGTTTAATTCCTCCTCTGTGTGAGATCCCTTTGAGTATTTCAAGGTATCTATTGTGCTTTATAAGAGTCTTTTCTCGGCTAAAAAGAACAGCGTGGGTTCTGAGCTGTTCCTCCTAAGCAGGAGTCTGCAAGCCCTCAGCATCCTTGTCCAGTCCTGGAGACACCGGATACTGAACACAAAAGTCTGGGCATGGCCTCGCACTGTCCACCTTTGTTCTGGATGCTTTCCCCTCACATTGTTGATTTGTGTCAACAATCAACTGAAAACTGAGTTCTGTATATATAAGCTGTGGTCATGTTAACTCTTCCCATTGTGCCCTTGAACTGTTGATTTTTTTTTTTAACCCAGGCACTGAACTCTGACTATATTGGGATGTTCTCATGTTCATTTTGGCCCACTTTTGCTGTCTGTTTTCTTTTCAGAGTCCTCCTCTTCAAGCGATGTGTAGCTGGATGTCCCAGCTTGCATTACAAATGTGACAAGCAGGACTTATGACTTTTTTGTCCTTATCCAATGTAACTTCTAGAAATTCATTCCAGATCAGAAAATAACCAATCAATTGGATTTAGTCGTTCAACTGCTCTAAGTCAACTTGACTATAGGTCCCAAAGTCAGCAAAGTGAAAATCGGGTAAGAAATTCTCCTACTTCCTTATCTCCCATAACACTTTATCACACAGCATTAGAACAGACCATTCTTTTGGTTGAACACCTGATGTAGTCAGCTTGACTTAAGGATCATGTTATATGAAAATACATTCCTTGTTATATAAATTAAAGTCTCTTAAGGTGCCTTAGCTGGTTTGACTCAGTG